AATTCATACATGTATTTGGAACAATTTATAAATTGAGATTATAAATAAAGGATACGCTTAGATGCGTTTTTTTTTTTTAAAAAAAAAAAAAAAAAAAAAAAAAAAATCTAAACAACCTGAGATCAAGAAGAAATCTAAATCTCACAAGACAAAGCAGATTAAACAAACACATTTGGAACAAACTATAGATACAAACTATAGATAGAATTATCAGCAAAAAGCTTGACAAAAAGCTCAAAAATATACAACTCCCATACCTATTACAGAGCAGTATTAGTGGAACTAGCCTTGCTAAAAAATCACCCCATATTCAAGACTCAAATTATCAAGAACTAGTCCCAGAAATACCTAAGTCAGAGGAAGAAGAAATGTTGGATGATCCTATAGAGATAGACTAGTTTAGAAAAAAGAGCCAGTTACAAGCGTTGCAACTGTATTAAGCACTTGAAAATTCCAGCAATGATACTTAATAGTGAAGCTGAAACTGAGATTATAACAGAAGATATTGTTAAGCAAGTAAATGGGAAATTGATAGATTAGTAAAATACAACCTTAGTACAGTCAGGGGATATACCAAATTAGGAAGCTGTATTTTAGAATAATCTATGGGCGAATTCTTAAATTTGATTGGCTCTTATGAGCCCACAAAGTCGTACATTGACAAAAAAAAATTTTTTTATAACAATTTACTACTAAACAACCTTTGAATGTATAGCTTTAGACATCAAATTTAAATAATCAACAGTAATCAACGCTAATTAACTCTTGTCAAAAAGGTAAATGAGAGATGAAGTTCGAGAAGTTATTTAAAGTGTAGAAGCTTAATCTTGCTAATCTGTGTTATGCTTTTTTATTAGTATCAGCTTCTTAAAGACAACTAGCAGAAGAACTCGTCTCTGAATGAATATAGCTTATAGTATGAATAGATATTTATGATAGTAAGAATGAAAGTAGCAAGAAAGTAAGAACAAATATAGCATGATAGTTGAAACAAATATAGCACGATAGTTGGGATGAATGTAGCATAATAGTAAGTATGAATGTAACATGATAGATAAATTAGAGACAAAACGTAGCATAGTTAGAATGAATGTAGCATGATAGTTTGGACAAGCATGATAGTTGGACGAATGAAGTATGATAGTTGGGACAAATATAGCATGATAGTTAGAATGTAGCAATTTGGAATGAATATATCATACTTATTAGGGACGAACGTAGCATGATAGTAAGAATGAACATAGCATGATAGTTAGAATGTACATAGCATGATAATTAGATAGATTCGGGATGAACATAGCACGATAATTGGGATGAATGTAGTATGATAATTGAAACAAATGTAGCATGAAGATTGGAGACAAATGTAGCAATAGCATGATAGTTTGGACAAATATAGCATGATAGTTGAAATGAATATAGCATGATAATTGGGATGAGCATAATATAATAATTAGATAGATTCGAACGTAAAAATAATAGATAAATTTGGGATGAACATATTATGAGAGTTGGTAGATTCTGGACAAACATAGCAGTTAGTTTCAGGACGTAGTGTAAGAGTTTGGTATATTCATGATGTGGCACAAAAGTTAGAAACATAGCATGACACTTGATTTTAGTAGTTTTATAGTAGACTCTTATTATTGTATTATATAAATTTTAATATTTTTTTTTTTTTTTTTTTTTTTTTTTTTAAAGGGCGATCTTGCCTGTATGTCGTATTTATTATTAATGTATGATT